GCAAACTCTCCCCTTGTCAAGCCTTGGAACAATTGCTGCAACCAGCCAACACCTTGATTGACGCCTTGCGAGAGACTCAGAACCAGAAGATTCAGAGAAGCCATACCCACATTCCTGACCCACACAAACTCTGACAGAGTAATTACTTGTTGCTTTAAGTTTCTAAATTTGGGGGAATGTGTCAATCATGAGGAAATAGATATTTAGTGACATCAAGCAATATCTGCCATAGGCATAGTGGATTTAAGACAGAGGGTAATTTAAAGAATATCTTACTATTATTACTATTTAGGATCAGATAATATGCATACTTTAATTGTTCTTGATTGTATTTATAATCTACGACAGTGAAGAAAGCACATGTTTTGTGAATAAGATATATCACAATTTTTCTTTATAAGCATACATTTTTTATTTTGTTCCTTTCATGTAATAATGCATTAGGTTTTCCTATATTGTATGTTTAGTAAAATGTTGCCTTTGCTACTAAGATCATTTATGTATTTACCACTAAATTATATCAATTAGATCTGCTACTTTTCAACTTCATGTGAATGAAATCATGCTGAATGATTCAAGTCCTTCTCTCTGCTGCAATATTATGTTTGAAAGTTGTTCATCCATTTGTCATCATAGGATCTCTTTATATTAATCTATAAGTAGTGTAACCATTCTACTTTGATATAAATTTAGGTTGTCCTCATTTTTTTTTTTAATCTTTACCTGAGGATATGTTTCTGTTTATCTTCAGATAGAGTAGGAGGGAGAGAGAGAGTGAGAGGTGGAGAGAGAGAGAAATATTGACTTGAGAGGGACACATCGACTGGTTGCCTCCCGCACGACCCCAGCCAGGGCTGGGGACAAACTGCAACTGAGGTACGTGCCCTTGACTGGATTCGAATCTGCAACTCATTGATCTGAGCCGAACCGGCTAGGACAAGTTGTCCTCATTTTAAGATATAATGTATTATGCTTGTTTGAACATTCTTGTATATATAATATAATGCACATATATACAGTTTCTTTAGTGTATATAACTAGAAATGGAATACTGATTCATAGCTACGTGCATCTTTAAAAATATTTATATAATGCTAAAATGTTTTTCAAAGTTGTGAAGTCAGTTTGCATTTATAGTAGTAATCTATAAGAATTTCATTGTTCCACATTTTCTAAATACTTGGTTAACTCTTCCTATACAACAACTTATTCTAAAATGTAGTATCTAAAAAAAAAAAAAGTGTTTTATTATGTAAGACAGTTCATGAGGTTGACAGGTCTAAGCTGGGTATTTCTAATGTAGGTTATCTCAACAGGTGCAGTCAGACTGTGACTGAGGAGTCACTCTGAAGGCTGCCTCTCTTAGTCCATTTGGGCTGCTGTAGACTGGGTGACATAAACAACAAGGTGCTGCAGACTGAGCGTCTGGTAAGGGCTCACTTCCTGCTCTGGGATGGCCATCACTTTACTCTGTCTTCACATGTCAGAGGGGTGTGGGATCTCTTTGGGGTTTCTTTTAGAAAGGCACTAATCCTACTCATGACCTACTCACTTCCCGGAGGCCACACCTTCAATAGAGCATCATATTGGGAAATAGGTTTCAACATATGAATTTTGAGGGGACACAAACATTCCGTCTATAACACTGTTTTGCTCAAGTATCTGATAGTTGATGCTAAATTTCTGCTGGGCTTACACCTACTAATGACTTCTAAATGTTCCTTGGACTTTCTTGCAACATGGTGTTTGGGTCTTAAAAGGAAGTACCCCGTAAGCACAAGACAAAAAATATATCACCTTTTACAAAATAGCCTTGGAATTAACATAGTGTACCTTTCACAGTAATCTTAGTCCTGCCCCAGCTCAAGGGCAGGCAACCCATATATAAACTTCTCAATGACAGGAGTATCACATCACATTGCAGGACAGGCAGTAGAATGGCAATCTTGTTATAGTCACTTCGAGAAAAAAATAGCCATTTATGTTTTTGCTTTTGGTATAGAACTATCAGTATTTTTATGTTTATGTGGTGATACCTTATTTGGGTTTTAATTTGGATTACCCAGATTACATATTATGTTCAAAACTTTTTATTGAACAGATATATAAATATTCCTAGTAGAGAAAATTGTTTTAGCATTTATTTGAAAAAAAAAAAAATCTTGTCTGGCCAGTGTGGTTCAGTGGGTGAACATCAAACCATGCATCAAGAAGTTGCCAGTTCGATTCCCAGTCAGGACACATGCCCAGGTTGTGGGCCAAATCCCCAGTGCAGGGCATGCCGGAGGCAGCCAATCGATGTTCTCTTGCATTGATATTTCAATCTCTCTCTCCCTCTCACTTTATCTCTCTCTAAAATTAATAAAGGAAAATTTATTTTTAAATCTTAAGGTTATGAAGATGTTCTTCTATATCTTCATAAAAACTTTTGTAACAGCCTTCATTTGTAGCATAATAATAAGTTCAATACAAATATGTATTGTCCATGAAGCACTTAAGAGTAAGTTATCACATGAGATACCACAATTCTTCGATGCTTAAGAATAAAGTGCATCTTCTAGATAACCTAAATACTTAGATCATAAAGTACCATTGCTATATCATTAACATCTATTATTTAGAGCTCATTCACATTTCACTACATCTATATATCTATATTTGTTTTATTAACAACTGGTCAAATTCTGCCAAAACAATTCAGACTTGGAGATTATACTGATTTCAAATATCAATTTTTGTATTATTGTCAAATTATAAGTTTTTTTTTCCTAATCCACAATGTCTAATAACTTGTACTCCAATCCACTGATAAGCATAGTGTTCAATTTTCACCGACTGATCCTTGTCATGTTTTACACTTACATCTACAAAATCTGGTATGTGAATAAGAAATAGCAGTGTTGTCAAGTATGTCAAGCAACTGGTATTTTTATACACTGTTTTTGGTATGCAATTAGCACAAACATATTTGGACAACGTATTTGGTGGTTTCAACTAAGGCTGAAATATGCTATTACCCAATGGGGTCACTCTTAGATGCATGTCTCACAAATTATGTCTATATGTTTGCAAAACAAAAAAAAAAAAAAAAAACATGTACAAGACTACGAAGTGCCTCACTACTTATAATTGCCTCAAAAAGAAAGCAAACATAATAACCTTCAATTTTAGAATGGATAAATTGTGGGGTAATAGATAGCACTGGGAATAAAAGTACCACTATAAGTAATAATATAGATTAATTTTATAAACTCAATATTGTGCAAAAAAATTACTGATGAAAAATAAATTGTATTGTAGGTTTTCATTTTAGAAAGGCAGAATGTATCATGTTAGAAGTCAGGGTAATAGTGTTACCTAAAAATGAGATTATAGACTTGAAAGAACTAAGGGAGGATTTTTAGAATTCTAGTAATTTTGAGTTTCATGGTTTTCATATTGCTTTTTTGGGAGCATTTACTTATATTTTGAGCTATATACTTTATTCCTCAATAAAATTAAACAATAAAATGGGGTATAACTGTAACATTTATGTAAAATAACTCTTTATATAAAAAATTATTTAAAATTATAACATAGATTGTGAGATGTTTGTGGATTGCCAGAAGATGATCAATTGTCCCCAAATTTATCTAAAAATATGTTATCTCAATAAAATTGCCAAGAGACAAATTTGTTTCTTCGGATATTTATAAAATGTGAAATACCAAAATTATAGTATACAGAAATGACAAGCCAAGATACTCTTGAAGAACAAGAACATGTTAGGAGAACTCAGTCTCCTAAGTATTAGGAAAATACAGTAATTAAGCCAGCAGAGAAGTATAGGTCAGTAGACCAATAGGGCAAATAAAAAAGGTCAGAAACAATCTCACACATATGGTGTTTGGAAACACAATGAAAACCAAAATCTCCCCTCAGCTTAAAAATTCTTCTTGACAAGATGGAAGGAAAAAAACAATTTTATTTTTTATTTATTTTTAAATCCTCACTCAGTGGCAGTTTTCCATTTATCTTCAGATTGAGTGGTAGGGAGGGTGGAAGACAGAGAGAGAGAGAGAGAGAGACATCAGTGTGAGAGACAGGCTGCTTTCCACATTACCCAAACCAGGATGGGGGACTGAACCGCAAACAAGGTACCTGCCCTTGACCGGAATCCAGCAGGACTCTTTGGTCCGAAGGCCTGAGGCTCTAACTGCTGAGCCAAATTGGCCAGGCCTATTTTTAAATAAGCAGTAACCAGAATGTGATGTGCATTATAGACTATCCACTAAGAGACTGAAAATACAGGGAAAAAATTTTCATTATTTTAATAATCAAACAGACTGTGACCCACTTGTAATGGTTAATTTTATACATCAACTTGACTGGGCGACAAGGTGCCAAGGTATTTGGTCAAACATTATTCTGGATGTGTCTGTGAGCGTGTTTCTGGATGAGATTAATATTTGAATCAGAAACCGGGTCAAGCAGAATACCTGCCCTAATGTGGGTGGGCCCCATCTAATCAGTCTGAACAGAACTAAAGTATCTGATAATTGCAATTAATCCTGACTGAATGTCTGAGCTAGTGTACAACTTATTTGTGTGTGTTTGGTTTTTCCTGCCTTTGGTTGGAACTGAAACACTGGCTGTTTCTGGGTGATATCCTTCAGATTGGGACTCAACCATTAGCTCTCCTTAGTCTCCAATTTGATGACTGCAGTCCTTGGGATTTGTCAGCCTCCATAATTGCATAAAGCAGTTACTAATGTAATGGTTCTGTTTGTCAGGAGAACCCTAATACATCATTACATGCATGTTCTCAAGATAATAACTAGTCTAAATTCAGAGATCTTGAAAGTACCATCTATTGTGCATGGCTCTTTCTACATTTTCTTAGTAGTTGGGGGACCATCTATGTCTGTGCAGTGGCTTTATCCAGAAGAAAATAAATTTCTCACTCTTTCTGTCTTCGGCACCACAGTGAGAGGAGCTGCCTCGATGTCTATCTGCAAGGGATGGCCCTACCTGATGGTTTCGTGATCAAGAGGAACAAGCAGCCGGACAGCACCACACTGCAACTCCATCCGCGGCAACAGGTGGATTTCGCTGCAAAATCCTGAATGTGTAGCAGGTGGCCCACGGCAAAGTGTGGTCGTCAGGAAGCAGAGATCCAATCACGAAAATCCTGCCACTTCCTAGGTACGGATCGCCATCAGCAAGAAAGCAGGGAGCTGTCTTGTCAACAAGCACGCCAGGGGCATCCTGAGCAGCATCCCACAGCTTATCTGCAAGGACAAGCACCTCCCAGATCTGCACGTGGCGGTCATCCGCAGGGCCAGCGCCGTCCTGCGCAGCAGAGCCCGTATGGTGAAGAGAAGTGTCAACGCCTCACCAAGGGCTCCTGAGCATGCCCCCCAAACAATAAAGTTGTCAGCCAACATCGAGGAGGGGGGATGGGGAGGGGGAGGAGGAGAGGAAGAAGAAGAGGAAGAGGAGATAGAGAAAAAGAAAATCACCCCCCAAATAATAAAGTTGTAAGCCAACATCGAGGGGGGGGGAGGGGGAGGGGGGCAGGGGGAGGGGGAGGGGAGGGGGAGGAGATAGAGAAAAAGAAAGGAAACATTTTTTTTCCTCTTATCTTTTAGAATGACATTTTAGTTTTGCAATTTGGAGTGAAGCATTAGTCAGCTGAAGTTAGGCATTTATACTCCCACAGAAAGAGATAAGGGTGCCCTCTTCCTTGATGATTATATATCAAAGAGATGTTTCATAGACTCTTGAGAATCATTCTTGTGTTTTAAAGCTGACAAAAGGCTTATTTAGCTTTTGAAAAGATTTACATATATTTCACACAGAGAAAAAAAGCTACAATTACCCATTTTGTAAAATACTCTAACAAAGGGGAGGGGTGAAAGTTGTTCCCCTTATTTTCAAGGAGAATTAAATATCTTATTTTTTATTTGCATTGCCACATAACAATCTCTTACCTGTGTTATAAGATGGTAATGTTACAATTTACTCATTGTTGTCCTACCTTTGTTTGGGCAAGTTGCAGCCATCTAAATATCCAGCAAATTTATAGTGAAATAGAAAACAGATATAATATCAGAATGATAGAATAACTGAATTTGAATTTTTAAAGAATCAGCACATTATTTGCCATTAGGGAATAATGTTTGACTATACCATACCACTGATGAATGGTTAAATCAGATTTTATTTGAAATTTACACAAATATCTTTAGTTATATATTAATTTTACCAATTGTTCTGATGATTTTCTGCTCTTATGTTCAAATAATTAACAATTTAACTATTATATTGTAGTTCCTTATAAAATCTTTACCCAATACAAGTCTAAAGAGTACTTAAACTCTTGTGCCTAATCATCTAAATGTTTCATCCTGTCTTCCTTCCCTGGTCCAATAAATGTCTCCTGAGTTTCACTCAATCACAGGCATCACATTTATAAACTTTTGTTTAGGTTCTTTATTATATGACATTTATTTAGGCTTCTTATATGACTTTTATTTTCCCAGACATCATCTAGTATCAAAGTCTTTTAATGAGGTACAGATTGAACTTCCAGTGTTTAAAATATATGAGTAGAGTGATTTTAAATCTGGGGGAAAAATCCACCTTATGGACTTTTCTCTGCACTGGATCAAAATCATTATTTATACCATTATAACAGTTACTAAAATCTCCAATAACAATCATTCACCTTTGTTTATATCGGGACTGGAGTGAACTTGCAATCCAAAGTTCATATCATGATATTAAACTTTACTTTTGCGTACTCCCTCTGTAATTGCCATATTTCTTCTGTCTAGTTAGATTGTTTTCTTTTCCACACCATTCATCCAATCAAGCCAGTTACCAAAATAGTTTTGTGTAAGATTTAGGGCCTGAGCACCCAGATGTATATTAATTATTTTTAGTTTGTTATTATAAAAAAATAACTGATGAAGATGATTACTGTCAATAATCAGATTGCTCAATTTATAAATCCCAGGTTTTTTCTATTGTGCTTGGGTTTTAGAACCCAGAGCACCTATTACATTTTTCACAAAAATAAATGATCTGCTAGCACACTGCTGATGGGAATGCAGACTGGTGCAGTCACTATGGAAAACAGTATGGTGTTATCTAAAAAATTAAAAATTGAATTATCATTTGACCCAGTGATCCCACTTCTAGGAATATATCCTAAGAAGCCTGAAACACCCATCAGAAAGAATATATGTACCCCTATATCTATAGAAGCACTGTTTAAAGTCACTAAGATCTGGAAACAGCCCAAGTGTCCACAAATAAATGAGTGGATAAAAAAGCTGTGGTACATATATACAATGAAATAGTGTTCAGCTGTAGAAAGAAAGATCTCTTATCCTTTGAGACAACACGGAGGGGCCTCGAGAGTATTATGCTAAGCGAAATAAGCCAATCAGAGAAAGAGAAATACCACATGATCTCACTTATTTGTAGATTATAATTAATGAACAAGGTGGTCTGGTGAACGAAATAGACCCAGAGGTATAAAAAGGAGTATGGTTCAGACTGACAACCACGTGTAGGAGGGCAAGGGGGATGGAGGAGATGAACTAAAGAACTTATATGCATGTATGCATAACCAATGGACATGATTACAGGGGGGTGGGAAGGCAGGACGGAGAGGAGGGTGTCTAGGGGAGAAAAAGGAGAAACATCTGTAACAAAAATAAATTAATAAAAATTGAAAAAAATCTAAAAAAAAATCTGCAACAATCAAAATTATATATGAAAATCTAAAAAAAAAAGACAGGAGTCGAATGCAAATCATAGCCTGGTGTTACAGATGTGACATGGGTAAGAAATACATAAATAGGACAATAAACATAACACTACCACCTGCAGAAGGCCTGAGGTTGGCTGTTAAGGTGGGTGGGCTTCCGAGGGCTGCAGCTGGTGAGTTACTGGGACCTGTCATTCATGCCTCTGGCTTACATATCAGTGCATCTATGGCAGGAAAATAAATAAATAAATGATCTGTATTCCACCTGGAAAAGGTCAAATGGCAATCTTTGCTTTCCACATTTCATTCGTTTTTATCTATGTACATCATTCTAAGTTTATCTAAATTCTGATAATCTCAAACTGTATGTGAATTATTTCTATTCTCATTAATATCCTGTTCTACAGAAAAAGTCAACTCTCCCTCTTAATTTTTCTCCATCCTAAATGTCTTTTAAAAGTTTTCCACTGATTTTTTTTTCCTGCAATTGTCTTTTTCTTTGTTTTGATTACTTCATTTCAGTGAGGGTGACAAAAGAAAAAGATGTATTAATGTGGACGATCATAATGCTTAATTAAGAATGCTCATATCTGAACCTTAATGCTTCATCAACAAAGACCTTGAGATTCTAAGGCAAAGCCAGTAATATTGAACCTCTTTTACATATAAAACACTAGATTTTTAAACTCCTTTCTGTTAATATATTTATAGAGCTCATATTTTGTATTCTATGTTATTATCTTTTTAACCTAAAAGTAATAAGACTAATTCTTCAAATATCACAGCTTCAAATATCACTGATGTACTCATTTGAAGAAACTGTGGCCTGGAAATGTTCCTTGTGATGCAGAACAAAGAAAATTAGAATAATATTTTTAATTTAAATATTTTGATTCTAATTTTATAAGGATATTCTTAATCATATTGCATGAATATGTGTATACATAAAATAAAATTATACACAAACACAGATGTCAAAAAGTTTTACTCTCATAGCACATTGAGTAGATATTTTGATAGTTTCCTATCACTCCATCATCATGAAAAGAATAGAGCAAAAGAGAATCTTAGAAAATAAGAAAACTCTTCACGTCAAACCAAAGGTCAAGAGAATTTTCTATCAGAACATCAGATAAGATTCTCAAATTCTTTCCTCAGTAATTTAGAGTTTCTTTGACAAGATTTGACTTTTGAAGTGCAGTTTTAGTCATAATTTTAGAAATAAAAGTATTATGACATAAAAGATCTTCAGCACAGATAATAGGAAGCTCTCCCTTTTCATTCTTCTTTAAAATGTCAGTGTGAATTTAATATATTTTATATACCCTCTGATCAGTAGAGTATCTTAATGTGACTTCTCAGTTCCAAGGATTCCTTCAATTCTGTAATATATTATCTCGGAAGTACCTTATCTTCAGAAATGTACTCTAATTAGTTCTCTTTTACAAAGGGCTCATCACTGCAATGAATATTATTAAGTGATACACTGGTGGTCACAAAGACTTAATGGAACACCTTATTGACCTAATTGAGAGAGTAAACAATACAGTTTATAAGCGGTAAAATTATGTGAACTTTGGTTATCACAATGTAGTTAAATGAGCAAATTATAAGTGGATATAAGTAATTTATACTATAGCATATACTCTTCTATATCTTTCTGTGCAGTGTGTAGAATTTAGTATAATGTCAGTTAGGAAAGTGATAAAGCCCTTCATAAAATCTTTACTAAAACAGTGACTTACAAGTCTCAAGAATGTGGTGGTAGACTATTTTGCTTCCTTACATTGTAAGACCGTCCTAAGATTTACCATCATCTGCAGTGTACCCATTTAATTAGGGCAACTTATTTACTTATTTACTTATTTACTAGGTTGCAGCTATAGACTCACTAAGGTATAGCCAGGAGATAAATAAATTCTCAATCAAAACATTATTTTCCCATTTTTAATAATGAATCCTAATTATATATTTAGATGTTGTAACAAGAATTTAAAAAAATATTTACCTAAATCTTGACTGAAAAATAATTAAGATATTTAGACATTACTTTCAAGATACTTGGGGAACATTGTCTTTTTTAAATTGAATTTATTAGGGTGACATTGGTTAATATTGGGGTGACATTGGTTAATTATTTCAGGTATACAATATTACAATATATCATCTGTATATTGTATTGTTTGTTTCTCACCCCAAGGCAAGTTTCCTTCCATCACTATTTATTCCTCCTTTACCCTCTTCTACCTCTCCCCATCCTCCCTTCCCTCTGGCAATCATCCTGCTGTTGTCTTTGTCCGAGAGTCTTTCCTTTATTGTTGGATTTTCAGGAATCCTTGAAGAGACAGCAGAAATTCAAATCAGCAAACACTCTCGAATACAGTAGTCCCATCTTATCCATAGTGTCACTTTCCATGGTTTTAGTTACTCAAGTCTTCCTCAGTTCAAAAATATTAAATGAAAAATTCAGAAATAAACAATTCCTAAGTTTTAAATTGTGTGCCATTCTGAACAGTGTGATGAAATCTCCTACACTTCTGCTCCATCCCACCCAGGATGTGAATCATGTCTTTGCCTGGTAGATCCACACTATATGCAACCTGCCCCTTAGTCACTTAGTAGCCCTCTTGATAATCAGATTGACTATCACGGTATTGCAGTGCTTGTATTCAAGTAACCCTTGTTTTACTTAATAATGTCTCCACACAACAGTAGTGATGCTAACATTTCAGATATGGCAAAGAGACGCTGCAAAGTGAACAAGTGTGTATGTACAGGAAAACATAATACACATAGGGTTCAATACTACCTGCAGTTTCAGGTATCTACTTGCAATCCACTTGTAATCTATCCCTTGTGGGTAAGGGGTATTAATGTATTTACTACAAGTGTTGAGTACACTAGGTGCTAGAAAAAAAAAAGTGGTATAAATAATTTGTTACAAAGGAGTTGGAAAGAGCTAAAAGGGAAATATGAGGAATCAAGGTACTACTCCAGCAAGCAGCTTCTACACCTATGGTTGGTGGAAAGAACAATAAGAGAGAAATGGGAATTGAAAGGATCAGGAAGATAAGAAGAACGAAACATGGAGCTGAGGCCTAGGCTTTGGTATAGACTAAATGTTTGTGACCCCTTAAAATTCAGATGTTGAAGCCTAATCCCTGATGTGATACTATTCAGTGGTGCTGCCTTTGGGAGGTGATTAGTTCATGGACTGGAGCCCTCATGAATGGGATTAGTGCCCTTACAAAAAGAGACCCTAGAGAGCTTCCTTGGCCCTCCCACCATGTGAAAACACAGCCAGAAATCCCTATCTAGGAATCAGGAAGTGAGCTCCTCTCCAGCCAACGACTCTGCCGGCATCTTGATCTTGGAGTTCGCAAATTTTAGAACCATGAGAAATAAATGTCTTATGTTTGTGACCCCTGCAGTCTACAGTATTCTGTTAGAGCAGTCCTGATGGACACAGACAGGCTTCGGGAAGCAGGTGTGTCCCGTCTGCTCTTGGAACCTCAAAATAGGTATGAGAAGGTTGGTTTGGGGAGTAATGAGAGTATTTGGAGGCTAGAACCACTGCAAGTGTGAAGAGTGATGCTGGGGGAAGCTCACAGGAATGACAAGCAAACAAAAACGAAGTTTTCCCTTCTTTTGATTTTCAATATTTCTCTAGGGCCTCCTATGGTTATAACTTAAAAAGAAGCAAGCCGGCAAAAAGAGTCTGTAATATGTATTTAGAGTTCCAGTCATAGTTTCAGAAATCAGATTATAGATGGATAGACCAATAACTGAGAGATTAAGAGAAAGTAGTTGGAAACTGGTCCAATTGCCATTTTACTATTTCTAAATCTGGGCACCAGTGTTTAAATATTAACATTTTCCCATAATTTGACGAGTCTCAATTTTAACTAAAGTTTTTTTTAACTTCATTTTTATTTTTATCTTCTGGATGGCTGTATTTAATCTGAGATTTGGAAGAAACAGATTTAAATTCTGAAGGGAAAGGACTTTTTTTCTTGAACAATATTTAGAAAATTTGGGGCACCCAACTCCCCTCTATTCATACAGAGATTTATAGGAGAAGTCAGTCAAAACCTTTGTACAGGTACTTCTTCTGCCTCGCTGTCATTTGTCTTGCTGATTCTCTACAACTTAACTCACTCAATTCTTCTTTGAGCAGGGAATAAGAGTGGTCAAGAACAGCACACACAGGCTGTGGGCTTAGATATCCAAGTTGAAACCCATGTGCCATATCAGCCTCTCTTGATTCTGTTCCTTATTTATTTAACAGGAATAATAGTGACACCCACCACATGTGATAGCTATAATATCTAAAAAGATAATAAGTGTTATGTATTTAAAACATGAATAGAACATGGTAAATACCAATGCCAATACAGGTTATTTATCATCAGCCCTGTAAATGTTGGTAGGTTCCATGACTCTTCCATAGAATTTTTTTTCTTTCCATTTCTATATACTCCTACAAAACCATCTCTTTGCCCCGATGGTTTCAACTGTACCTTTTTCAATGGAAAACTCCTTAAATCGATATATTCAGTTCTAACTAATCTAATGTATTCTAATCCAAAATATTCAGTTTCTTACTCAGTCTCTCTAACGAAACCCACATGTCAATCATTGACTCATCATTTTTCTTTTAAACATGCTTATTTTCTCCTGCCCCGTTACATGGCATCGTGGGCCATCAGGTTGGTTAGCTAGAATTCTGCTTATCATTTTGACTCCTTTTTCTCTGACTCCTCACAGACAGTTAAATGTTAAAATAATATTTTGTTTATTTTTCCAAAGGCTCTAATTTCATATTAACCTCCACAAGTTTTTTAAATAAACAGCTACAATACCCTACATATTTAAACTTGCTCTCTTCTTATCAATTAATCATGCGAAGAGGTTTTTGTAACACACTAATCTGATCAAGTTATTCTCCCACATAAAACCCATTAATATTTTACCACCACCCTTAGATGAAAATCAATGTTTGCACATCTCCTAAAGCATTGATTTCGCTTCCTTTTGCATATCATGTTTCAACAATTCTAAACATATGAAATTACTCAAGTGGACTACGGAATATTGCATTTCGTGAGATGACTGTATATATGTTTCTTCTAAGAAATGATTATAGGTTTCTTCTAAGACTTAGCCCTGCAAAGAATACAGCCTCTACTTCTCTCTTTCTCTCTCTCTCTCTCTCTCATTTCACTCACTCTCCCTCTCTCTCAGAATTCACCTATAGAACCATGACACCTAGTCACCATGCCCTGAGGAAGCCCAGAGTCCATGGACATAGAACATTGAAGGACCCACATGGAGAGGAACTGAATTCCAAAGTCATTGGCAAACATCGACTGCCATACATATAAATAAAATTTTTCTGACCCATAAAATAGTGAGTGTAATAAATGGTTGTTTATGGCACTAAATTTTTCTGTCGTTTTGTCATGCAGCCATAGAAACAGGAATATGTTATGTTATGTTATATGTGTTCCATAGGGATTGGCTTCCTTTTCTAGAAAATTTTCTAGTTTCCTAATGTCTCAAATCAGATATCACCAGTATCAGCCTTCTCATCAACACATATTCACCTTATTCATTTCAATTTAAATATTACTTGTTCTGGTCTTTTTTTTTTTTTTATCACTTAGACTATAATGTTTCTTATTATTGCTTACTGCTATATACACCATTCTTCCTTTATCAAAACACCCTTTAATTTTAGTGTAAATAACTTTGAACCTTCACTGAAATTTAAACACAGTGACAGTAGAATATCTGTCTTGTCCCTCCTTATCCTTTTGTGTACACAGTAAATCATGCAAACCTGTGGTATGTGCTGAATCAGCATTTTCTACATGGGTAACACATGACAAAACATAATTATTAAACATAAATAGCTTGATTAAGATGATGATTTTCCCGAGTTCCATAGATTTGTATATTTGACATGGAAAAGAAACCTTGCAGTTAAAAATATTTACAATTCCTCCACCCCAATCCTTCAAGTGAAAATGCTTTCCTGCTAAATTGGAATAATAGGTAGAGTTAAAGTTTGTGGAAATAGAAATGGGTTCAATTGTTTAACAAAGGAAATTGGATGCATATGCCTGCAGCTATGTCTGTGGTTTGGGGGAAAGTAAATAAGCAGATGCTAGCAGAGGTAAAGATACACTAGGTATGAATGGAGATGTTTTGAAATTGTTGTTAGCAATTGTTTTGTATAATATGAAATATAGTTCCAACTTGAATATTCTTGCCAATAAATCTGCCAGTGTGTTTAGCCATCTGAGAGGAATTTCTGTATTGTTTTGTAATTTATCTTGGTTGTGTATGTGATGTAATGATATGTGAAAAGAACTATGTGATATGCATTGATTGTGATCAGAATCACTGACAGGAAGCTTTGTTAAGCTTGGTTTAATTTCTTTAAATTATCTCTGGGTATCCTGTATATAGTTGATAGGTTTACAAAATCCTTATCAAAACTGGTACTTCTAAAAATTCTAACAAAGGAAAATGTAGTCGTCACAATTTATGTTATTTTTTAGATAAGATACTACAATACTAAGTATAGTTAGATATCACTTCACAGAAAGAACAGTCAATATTAAAATCAAACACTGAAATAAAATGTAATTCATCTACAAACTAAATAACTTTTACTTCAACTTCTAAATGGTATTATGAAGATGGTTTTATTAAGGAAGATGAAGTAAAATATATGTCAGGTGATTATGGCTTCAAAATTGTCATTGAGATATACATTTTTCTTCCTCCAAGTTTTTGAAGACTTGATCATAGGAAAATTTCTGATTTACATGTATGCTGGTTCTCTACCCATGCCGAATTGTTTAATTACTCAGTTGTCAGTCATTTTTGTTCATCTAGGAGCACTTAATTTGAAACTTATATGTAATAATGGAATTCAAAGCATCAGAAAATATTAGGGCTCTATTTGACATAAGGGAGGAAAAGTTATTTTTTTCTTGTACCATTGGAATTATATATGCTCTACTTATGCAAAATGAACAAAATTCCTAACAATCAAACAAAAATATAGATGTGGATGTAGAGAGAAATATACAAACAAGAGAATATGTACATATGTACTTTTCCTACAGTTTACTAAAAGTAGTCTCTAAAGAATCTCAAATTTGCCCTACCTAGTGTGGCTCACTGGTAAGCATGTTGTGCCCACGCACCAAAGGTCCCGGCTCTGAGTCCCAGGGCGTGCAGAAGGCGACCAACTGATGTGTCTCACATTGATATTTCTCTCTCTCTCTCTCTCTCTCTGTCTCTCTCTCTCTCTCTCTCTCTCTCTTTCTCTCTTCGTCCTCTTCCTTCCACTGTCTCTAAACATCAACAACA